GGCGTTGCAGGGCGGGTGGGGGTGTGGTGGTGGGAGGGTGGACAGGTTACGGAGCCAAATGAAAACATGTCACTCAGGGCCCATTAAAAGGTAACCCTGCCCAGCAGAAGAAAGAGACCCATATCATCATTAAGTCATCTCAGAGCGAAGCAAAAACCGCAAATATTATTCCAACAGCCCCCTCCTAACAGACAGGCTTCTACTCCAGTCTTTTTTTCTCCCTTTGGATGGCCGAGAAGACAGGATGATTGGAGTTGCGTCATGTTTGCTCATGACCTAAGAATGACTAAATTATGTTTGGGGACTTCCTGATCAATGTATTTGTTTTTATTCTAATATAACATGAGGTAAGACATACAAGTATAGTATGTATTTTTATTTTTCATTGCCTGCATTTCTTTAAGCATCAGGAATAAACTCCCCCCCAAAAAAACACTCAGAAGCATAAAAAATGGTAAGTGGAAACCTTCCTCTTGAGACAACAATATTAACTAAGTCGAGGAAGTGCAACAACCTTTCAGTTTAAGCAGCTAAATGTAAACTCATAAACAAAAATGATTAAAGAGCACGCAGCCTCCAACACATTCAAAAGAAAAAAGTAAACGGAAAAGTGTTTTTTTTGCACTTTATTAAATATGTGCATATTTGTGCGTAAAAAGATTTGTCACACTAGTTACCATGACGATCTCAATAAAAAAACAAACTTTTTGCCACGTTCATTATAGTTTAATGGCAATAATTGGCTGATGTTAAACGTCTTTGTGATTGGTGAAATGTTACTGCCAGCCAGCTCTCCTTTTTTCACTTTTTAACCATGGGATACCTCAGCGTACACGTTGGCTGTGCTTTACACCTGCAAGTTCGGCAAGGCGCGGAGTCAGAAGCTGGCCTAACGCAGACACGTACGGATTGACCCTCTGAAACAGGAGGGATTGGTGACGTTCAGCGTGACAAAAAATGGCTTGTCCCGGTGGCAGACTGGGGAGGGTAGTTAATATAATACCCAGATAATCATTTCAAACAAATTATCATAATTATCAATCAATCATGAGCCTATTTAGGCAGGAGTACAGATGGGGAAGTGTGGTGCTGTTGGCAGAGGGTAAACTATGGCCTGGAGGGCTGGATCACATCTGTGACCCACGCCTCCCTCTGTCCACATAATAACCCTCATACATTCAGGGCCATTTAGCTTGTGTATTTAGAGACGCAATTGTCCAGCTTCTTGATTTGGAGGGGGTGGGGGGATGTGGGGGGGTATTTGGGGAAACTGCACACACACACAAACACCCACATATAAGCACAACTCCAGCTGACCCCCATTTGGTTCCTCTGTCTTTCAACATGAAGTGGAAAAAAAAACTACTTATGGGTCAGAGTTCCTATCAACTCCTGTCATATCCTCATTTTCAAGTAATGCCACATCCACAACACATTTACGATTACTTAAAGTGCTTGAGTAGTAGTACAATGAGCAATGACATAGATCAGTATTTCGAATTCGTCGGCGAAGGAGAACACATGTCAGAAAAGGAGCGCAGCAGAGGGCTTGAATGTCTTGGAAGAGATATTCCTGCATCTTTTCACAGTAAATCCCCTATGAAAAGCAGCATGAGTTGATTCAATCTCGATGGTATTGAGAGGTGAATGAATGGGGCTCGGCGAGAGAGAATGAGGAATGGAGAAAGAAGCGGAGATAGAAAGAGAGAGAGATAGATAGTAGCCTTTAGGGGAGAGATGATCGTCTTGGGAAAAAAGCAATCAGTGCTCATTGATTTTCTCTGCTGGTTGAATGGAGGGTGTCTATCTGGAAGTCATTATCTGTCATCTGATCTGCTGGAGTGTTTACACACGTCGGCATGGACAGCAGCGCTCCTCTGAAGATGAGGATTAACACACACAAACACACACACACACACAAAGCGAACACTGTCTCCTTTTTCTTGCTCTGTATCTAGCTACCACTTTTAAATCCAAGGAATCCAAAAGGAAATTCAAGTCCTCCGATACCCTATTAACTTCTGCTCACACACTTATAGACTTAACTGGATGTACTATGTGTGAGGTTGAATATACATAAGCAGGGCCTAGACAGCTAAACAGACAGATAGTCCTGTTTTGTATGGCCAGACGAGACCAAATCTAACAATCCCTGATCGTATCTCTAATAGCCACCGATAGCAATCTGTAGCTACAACAACACCACCCTGCCTGCTGTGACACAGAGAGGGATGAAATAAGTGGAAGAAAATGGAGGAAGTAAGTAGATAGGGGATTCAGATAACAGCTCTTTTTATTTTGCGAGTGGTGTGAAGATGCATGAGACTTTGTGTTCCATGTATAAAAGCCAATATGGCTCAGAAAGCACAGGATATGAATTCAAGTCCTTAAACACACATGCCCGCACCCACTCACACATGCACACACATATAGGTTCAGGGGCAGCTCTGAGCAGCTTTCAGTAAGAGGTTTGGAGAAGCTACAATAATATCTTTGCTTCTCTTTTATCCGGTGCCTTATCCCTGACTCTAACAGCACCTCTTATTTGCTTTAACATTCCTTTCAGACTGACACAGCACGGCCTTTTTCTAGCGTTCGATAGATAACGTTGCAGACCTTCTTATTGTGTTGAATCACGCAGACACTGACCACACACCCGAGCTGGTGAGAGAACAAGTGTTTTCCATTCATGTATGAGAGCTTCAATATACATGAGGCCAAACCATTTAACACCACTTGAGCTCACTGTCTCTGTCATCATCTGTTTTTAGTTTTTTACTTCCAACGAAGAAAAATGTCAGGAGAATTCAGAGATCAAGGCAGTTTGAAAAGCTCTGTTTGCCATTTCTCTAACTATTTAAAACATCCCTCTAAATTGAGACCTAGCTGTGCTTGTATAATGCCATAATCTTAATATGACAAAGTAGAGACTTACACTGTGTTTGTGACTTTTACAGAGACACACACATTCAGTTTTTGGGCGGATTAAAGGAAAGTAGCACATCTGATTGGGACTTGGGTCAAAGTATGCATCTGTGGTTAATGTAAGCATGTCAGTAAAAAAAACTATATATTATATATAATAATATATAAAATATAAGAATATAATAAAACTGCAACAACTTAATTCTAATAAAAAATTTTGTGCATGTTTTTTGTGTTAAAACGTGTATTTTCATAAATATAAAACTAAATTATGATCAAATTGAATTTAAACGTACTAACTCTTTTCATTCTTCACCCAACATCCATCTCTGTACACCAGTCAGCCATTTCTCCACAGAAAATGCAGCTTGAAATTCATCTTTAACTTAGCAGCTATGAAAGGCATCATATCGTGGCTTGTAGGTATTTCTTGACACTTTGTAATAAGCTGTAAGGAATATGCACAAACACTTACATCATATCGCCTAAGCACAGAAACAGCTGATAAATGCATGGGCATAGGGTTACAAAAACAGATCTATATATATTAGGCTAGTTTTTTTCTTTCTTTCTTTCTTTTTTTTTTTTTACAATTTAGAACTCCGGTAAGGCTCTGCTTCAATCAAGTGTAAACGGTGGTAATGACATGGTGGAGGTAACAGAAGTCAATGTTTTTACGTGTGTGTGTGTTCAAGTCCTGCACTCTGCTTGTGTGTGACTGCACGTGGATGAATGAGTCATGTCATAGGGAATGGCTCATGCATAATTTCATTCATATTCATAACAGGCATGTGGTCTGCCACCGCCCGACAAGGGTCAACCACAACTCACACTGTGCATAATAAGATGTAGTCCGTATTTTTCTGCATATGTTTATAAGTTCAGACATTACCTATGGTAGGTAGGCAAACTCTTTGATTTGAGCAAAGCTTCACGCTTCTGCTATGTGTGCCTGCATGACAACTAAATACACCTACGGGTGTGTGTGTGTGTGTGTATTAGGGACTGTGCGTGCATCTCATATGGAAGGTGGTGAGGTAGTTCATAAAACCAAGTACGTTTTTCCACATTGTACGAACATGTGGGGAATTTGGAACAGCCCAAACCACCTGTGGTCAGCTCTTAAAATAAGCGTATTGACTAATGTAGGATTTCAGATCAACCATGCAGTCAGTGATTTACATTCTGGTCTGCCTGTTTATAGAAGGTGCAGCAACAAGACCCTTGACCTGAAATGCAAATGAGGAAATTTATGAGTTTGTCTTATTCTGAAAGCAGTCTGGTCATAAATGTAAATTACAGCTAGATAGATTCTATGTGAAATGCCCTTTGATAAGTTTGCTCACAAGACACCTCTGCTGTTTATCCGTATTCCTGTACACAAGTTCTTTACAAAACATTAACTCGTTTTTTTTTTTTAAAGGTAGGTAGCATCTGAGACGATCCTTTAATACTCAAACACCACATAACTTACTGCTGTTCCATTTTCAGCCATTGATTTCAACCCTCTCCCTGTCATTTGACTTTGAGTTGCTGCGCCCGCATGGATTCGTCTGTTCTCCGCAGCAGCCATTGTTCTTTCATGGACCATTAGATGGACATGAACTCTTTTGCAGTTTCGTCTTGACCCGGTGACATTGGCCGTAAAAACAAACTGCCCAGCCCCTTCAATAAATTTATCACCTCATAAAGTGGTCAGTGACTGGTCAATGAGACGTGTCGGTCGCAGCGTGTGCTTGAGGGAAGAGGGGGATTCCTAGATTGCAGATCATTGTTTGTTGTCTCTGATAAGTAAGGCTTATAAGTCACTAAAACATTTGCTACTGAATAGATCTTAAAAAGTTTTCTTTCCATTCAAACTTGAGAACATGTGCAGTCCTAAAGGGGCCTAAAACTCACTGAAACTGGCACATACATTACCATCAAAATCGAGATTCAAGGTAAGCTTAGTCAGATGAGTTATTTTGATGCGTAAACATGTACATTACTTTTATAAGTTCGATACACAGAAAATGGTGACTTCAGTTAAGACATCAAACTGTGGAGTAAAATAGAGAAATATGTGATTTCCCTACCTTTTTAATGCAGTTGTCAGGGGAGTCTTCATCATGGTCATTCATCATCTGCAATGAAAATAAAGATATTTAGTCATATAAAAAACAACAAGAAAAGGCAAGAATTAATGTAAAAGAATAAGCAAGCCAGGCAATAAAAGAGCAAATCTTTTTATTGACCCATTAAAAGAGAATATTGATTTCAACACTTCGAAAGCGCCTCAGCCTTCTCTTTCGACCATCACTGCGTGATGACAAGAGCACAGGGTTTTCACAGTTCATCACACACACCCTCTGGCTACAAATATGACCAGAGGGACACAATAATGGACTAAGAGGTCACAAAAACACAACCAGAAGCAAACATAACACTGAGCACATTTGGATGAATGAATGCCCCGCATTTTGACGTTAATTCTCCGCTTCAGCGTTGCAGGAAATTTCACTGAGTTTATGTGTGTGTGTGTGTCAGTGAATGTGCGTATAATTAAGCCTTCAAGCAATATTTACTGGGGGCAGATGGGTGGTAGAATGCTCCCAGTGTCTGCCAGAGGAAATGAAGGAAGTGGGGGTATGATGGAAGAGATGGGACTGCCCTGCTGCAAAGAGAGGGTGTTTCACACATAAACGGCAACCCTGAGTCTCTCTTCGTCTGCCTGTCTCTTTCTCTCTCTCTCTCTCTTCCTTAAGCCCATTGAGGATCAAAGAAGAGATGGAGACTGTTTCCAGAGTAGTTTTAGGTGGGGAGCGGGAACCACATACTTAGTTTAGGTGAAAATATGTCTATAAAACTTATCCAAGCACAGACACACAGCGTATCTGAGCCTTCCTTTTCCTGTGCCCGATCCTCCCTATCTGCCCTTTTACAGTGGCTGCGTTGTATGGATGTCGTGTCAAGACTGACGGCCTTTATATCTGAGCTGACATATTAAAGTTTGTGTTTTCCTCCACCAATGTGGCCCACCGTGATTGGGAAAGAGACATTTATCTATCGTGGAATCTTACATGGAAACTGTGGGGCTATTCTTTGAATTTTGGCATACAGTGACTTCTTTTGTGCACCTTTCCGTGCAAAGTCTCAATTCTCGGGAAGTGATTATAAAAAGTGAGTGAGATCTTAAGGTTAGACATATACTCCCACGTGTAAGGTTGTGTTTGAGTTTGTTCATTTTTCCTAAGTAACATGAAAAAAACTGTTTTCTAAAACCTTAGTTGCTCACAGTCGTTTTCTCTCCCCTCCCATAACAGTGAACCAGATGGGCCTCGTGTGCAGGGATGTACCATACTTCATGGTTTCCTACATTAAGCTGTCAAGGGATGTGTTACTAAGCCTCACCAAATGGTTGTAATTACACTACAGATACTTACAACAGTGTTCTCAACCTACTTACTGTACATTTAAAGTTTTACAGATGCGTCCTGTTCCTGAAATCAACCTCAAAGAAAGCAACAGCAAAAATATTAGTCAGATACGTCAGTTCTTTCTGTCAGTTTGTTCATTCATTGTCACAATGTACATATTAGGGTTAGAGTTCCATATACCTTATGAATGGTAGTGTTAATTTCCAATGTGATAATCAATGACAATGCTAACCAATGATAAAAACAAAAGGGACAAATCATTGCTCCCAAGCTTTCAATAGCCATTGTCTCTATGTCATATGTTTTTAAAATATCTATATCTGTTTGGTTGAAGTTGAATTGATCTAGCTGAGAATTACAGCCTCTCTTCTGTTGGTACACTGTTGAGAAAAATGACCACAAATGCTACTGCACTAGTTTAAAGGATCATAACGGACAGAAACAGAGTATTTAATGTTCTTATATCTGTTTTTAATGGACTTTTTCAGTAAAGGGAGCACACAGTATGATTCTACAACTGTCTAAAAGGATTACACGATGATGATTTATTAAGAAGAAAGATAAATTGGGTAAATATTACTTGTCTGGGAGTAACACAAAATTTGCATGTGAACTTTAAACACACAGATACTGTTGACGTCAAAATAGAGAGAGTGTGTAGGAGACAGAGTTTGAGGTGGGGGTTGGGCTCCCGTTTCTTGTAATTCACCAAACCAGCTGCAACAGTTTACAAAACCAACAGCTTGGCTGGGTCATGTAAAATGCTACCAGGCGCTCAACAGCTACAGGACAATTTCTGGACTTTCCCCCCGCTCTCCTCAGCTACATGCCAAGTGTAAATATGTGTGTGTATCAAATTGTGCAAGAGTAACATAAAACTCCAGAAGAAATGCAAGCAGACATGAGTGGTTTTACTGATGCCTTAATGTGTTTCAGCTTTAGGTGGGGGGTCGGGACTGTGTGGGCGCTCTAGTTTTGAGTCCAGAAACATTGAGCTCATTGTCAGAAATATACTAATTATGAAGTTTCCTGCTTTTGACTGAGCATTTCCAATATAGATTGTCTGCCAACTGACAAGTGACCAAATGAGTTTCATTTGTTGAAAGTTTCATCTAAAGACTGCGGGTTAACATGGTGTGTCAGCAACAACTGAAAGAATGTCCAGCGATGACAATAACATTAACAACAAATACAGGTGGACACAATCTTTTAACATGGGCTTATTGTAAGAGGGCACAAACTTGCATGCTGTGCCAGACTAACACCAACACAGAGCAGTCTAAGAGTCCAGCAGAACTCCATCAAACAAATAAATAAGATATTAATTAAGGAAGGAAAATGTGATTGGCCACCGACTGTTGGGGCCATGATTTATTGCACATGTCACCATCATATCAAAGTGACCTTTCCTCAAGGGTTGTGAGACAGGTCCAAATAAAGACAGGCCTGTGTTAGGAGAGACAGATTTTCCACTATACAGAGAGAGAGGTAAAATTGTCCATTTGTTCTGTATCTAACTTGCTAAATGCCGACATGTCAATATGTCTCATGGAAAAGAGAAAATACTGAAGTGAGGGTAATTAGACAGAGTGTAAATGTGTCTCTGGGCACAGAAACTTCTCTCTCTGGCCCATATGACCTCAAATGTAAATAAATCCAGTCGTGGCTTGATGAAAGTGCAGCCACCTGCAGAATCCTTCCACCAGGAGCTGTCCAGGTCCTCATTAGGAATATATGCAACTGTGCGTGTTTGTGCACGTATGACACAGTGTGTGTGTGTGTGTGTGTATCTCATCACGTCTGCGGTGTGTGCTTTCACTCTGGGCGAGATGGAGGGAAAACCCCACTATTATTAGTGTTTTGTAGCACAACCTTTGTTATTGGACAGACTCAGGACTATTTCAACACTACTTAAGCACCATTTTTATTGATATGCTATGACGACTGAGTGCACACACACACATTCGCAAAAAAAACACGATGCGGGCAGAGACGCTCGGTGAGTGGACTGCCTTGTTGTTTTAACAAGAGCTGTCAAAGCCTAAAACACAGGACAGAGCAAAATCTGTCTGTGTTTTTTTTCTCAAACTCATTTGATACGAAAAAAAAAAGAAAAAACAGCGGAAATGCCCCAAAAATGGGTTTCTACTCAAGGCCCATTAAGCACATCTGGTGGTTTTGCATGCGTAGCTAAAGTCAGTCCTTGAAAGAATGAACCAAACAGCAATCTTCTAGTCACACAATTCACCAATGAGAAGTCTGAGTAAGTAGTCGTAGCAACCACAGTGGAGGAAGACGTTCAAGCGTGCTCATCATCATCCGCTAGAGGAGAAGAAGAGGGCCCCACTTGGAGATTTGCACCGTAGGAAAATGTTAGCATTCTGTTGCCAAAAACAATTCTGCTCAACTCTGGATAATGTGAGGCAATACAGCTACATGGCCCAACGGATGGCTGCGGATGTCACAAAGCCACAAGTTTCCAAAAAGAACCAGCAGCAAACAAACCTCAAGGGTTTTTGAACCAGAGCCCTGACTGACAACCCATTGGCTGCAAGAGCCACACCAAGAAAGCCACAAATTGAAAGTTTTGCTAAGCATTTATTGGGAACTTTTGCAGCTTCTTGGCGCGCTGACAAAAAATTCATTGTGGTGGCAATGCCCTGGATGGGTTATTGATCTTTTTGACATATAGGCTGGGGAGAAATCACTATTTCACTGTGGGTTGTGTTGAATAATAATAATCTGCACAGAAAGGGAATTTGTGTCAAAGAATGAGAAAGAGGAAAAAAAGTTGATAAATGAAAGAGAAGGTTCTGGTTCTCATTGCTGGAGCCTTTAAAATAGGAGGTAACCACCATGTCAAACATGATCTCAGCAAATGGATGTGACTCCTCTGACTCCAAGATACTGGCAAATCTGATCGGAACACTTTCCAATCAATGAAACAACACTGCTGCCCCAAAAAAGGAAGAAAAAGAACAGCGGGAACAAGTCTGTTTTTTTTCGCTGTAGTCTATTGCTATCATTTAAAATCCTTGATAACAAACCTTTTACATTTGCTTGCCAGAGACTGCTTGACTAGGGAAACATGTCTAATCCAGTCTGCTTTTTAGCATCAAGTCAGATAGTGCCTGCTCGTGGCCCCAAGTCTTTCTCTGGCTTGTCCTTTAAAAGGGTGTAAAATGCAGCTATTTCTGGACTTCCCTGAGATAGGACCTTTGACAGCTGACCCAAAACAAGACCACGACTATGACTTCTTAAAAGCATTTCTCGACAATGAAGTTGCTCATAGAGTGTCAGCTAAAAAGTAAGAAAACCTAGGCCGGAAAAAAAAGGAAACCGGGCCAAATTTACACCGCTAAATACTAGGAAGTTGGGCGTCCATCAGAGAAAAACATGTTTATGATGCCTTTAATTGGCGGAAGACTTGAGATATTTTGGCCAAAGCACACATTGAGGGCATTGCTATATGGGAACTTTCTCTTGCTCCTTATAATTATTCATATATTCAGTGGGCACTTATTGTTCTCCCATTCTGTTGTGATGTTTTTTGTGAAAAATTCTATAGTTCAAAGGTAAGAGAAAAATAAAATACAAAGGAATGCATTGTTGAAAAGATCAAATTTACTTGACACTCACCACATGGTGCTAAAGCTAACTCTGTTACCCAACCCTATACCCAGATGGGTCAGGGTGCGGCCCGTGAC